GACTTTCTCAAATTCATTTGCATTATATCAATTGCCAAACAGCTCCATAGTTAGCATTTCTAGGCCAAGAAGGGGTAACAAACCAGCTCAACATGCCAGGTCTCCCTTCAGCACTGTCTGCTCGCGCTTCCGGCACGTTGAGAAGGTAAGCATGCCACCTCTCATGGGATCTAAAAAATGCAAAGGGTGCTATGGCATTCCATGTACTCCTTGCAATGAGTTGACCAAGTCCATGCCAAATATAGACAACTCAGCGCGGTTCCTTTTACTTCATCCACTATGTATAAATGAGTGTCCATCTGAAAAAGAATCCAGATTCATGTGGATTTTGGGATGGTGTAGTTTTTCACTTACTTAACGTACTTGGTGTCTGGAGATGAAACCGCAGAGAAGTCTGGCAATCTGCGTTAAGAACATTGCCTACGCTATGGTGCGAACAGTCATTAGGCCAACGTACAATCCCCTACGCACTCTCGCTTCCAAGAAACGACCTAATAGTGGTAACCATCTCATATGAAGTTCGGTTATGTTGTTGAAGGGGTAAGCATCATAGCTATGTAATGCATTAACTATTTAATTTAATTGGCAACGTACCTGTGAGAAAACTAAGCATAGGGGCCTGCACCGTACAGGAGAAGAACGTCCCGATCCCCATATCAATCATTGCAGGGCAATCTAAAAAAGTGTTATCAACCATGCATGAACGTTGGTTGCCGCTATGATGCCTCCTTTTATGCCTAGAGATGCGTGACTCACTGTTGCGTGATAAAAGTTTCATGTGAAGAAGCGGTGCTTGCCATATTGTTCGGTGGAGAGATACTGTACCTTGAGCATAGCTGGATGTGTTGTCACCCTGTCAACGAACTCAATCCCGTGTGTTCCGTAAAAACAAAATTAGGCTCAGTATCACGTAAGTTACGTGAAACTAGTTTACTTCGGTCTATACCTTGCCCCCCCCAAGCTAGTTTTTTTCTTCGGGACATGCGCTTCTGCGCATCGCAACAGTGTCTAACGCTCTTTGGCCACGAACGCGCAGACACACATCCTCAACCACACCCCAGTCACCCATGACCGGACACGCCAGCTGACACTGACTCCACTCGGCCCGGCTGTTCTTCGTCTTTTAACCACGGTCGACGTCGCTGTGTGGCACACACAAATCTTCATCGATTGTGCTGCGCGCGCACCGCGCGCAGAAAACTCTACCACGGCTGCCGAACACCATCACGCCGCTCATCGCACACACACAGCGGCAAACTGGTTATCCAACGCCTGCCCCGCCCCCTACTTTCATTCAGAAGTGTTCACAGCTGCATATGATATTGTGCATATCTCCACCTCTACACAGGCATCCCTTGCGGCTGTCCACGCCAATTGATCCACGCCTTCTTCACAACACCTACCACACTCACACCAAACACTCACCACGCGCACGTGCTCCGACTGCGATCTCAGAGAAAAAAAATATAGGAAAAAAAAACGCCCCCCCACGCCGCCCCAGCCGGCCCCCCAGCCTCGCATTTTGAGACCGAGACTACCTGGACCAACAGCTGAAGGGGAGGACCTGAGGGTTCCATCTCTGGTGTCCTAACAGTGCAAGAAGAGAATGGAATCCATTGGCCGAATTCTTTGAAGGGATTTCTAGACATGGGCATTTCATTCCTGTCGACTTTCCCTGCTTTACAGTGGCACTTTATTTGAGTGAGAGTGAACAGTCTCTGGACGATGTGCTTTTTGAAAGTCGTTCTTCTGTAATGTCCACTTCAGTCAGACAGGAGTCTGATCACCACTGCATTAAAAGAAGGTATTTCAGAGGAGGACAGGGACGAGCTGATTGACCTTTTGGACCGTTTGGATGTAACAGCACTTCCAACTCAACAGAATTTAAAAGGCATCCTTCTAAAAGTGGCACACAAACAATTGGTCCAAAAGCCAAGATATGCATCAGAAAAGATGTCCTTAATAGCTGGTTCCTCCCTAAAAGAAGCTTTTGTGAGCCCACAAGATGTCTTGCACATGTATGAGGACAAAAAGCCAACAACTAAAAAGCTCTTGAAGTTACTAGATGCCTCTCCTTCAAATCAAGCAGAGAACCAGAGCTTTCGTTTCCTGCAACAGTACATAAGAAGACTGGATGATGCAGGTGTCAGAAGAATGTTAAGATTTGTCACAGGCTCAGATGTTATCTGTGTTAACAAGATTGAGATCATGTTCACGGCAGTAGATGGACTGGCACGACGACCTGTAGCGCATACCTGTGGTCCAGTTTTGGAACTGCCATGGACATATGCTTCCTATCCCGAACTACGCACTGAATTTGACAGTATACTGATCGCTAAAAGCTCCTATGAATTCAGCATAGCATAGATTTATTATGGTGTGCTCATCTCTTCTGAAGGCAAACTTTAATACAGATGGTAGTAAAAGGTTGATATTTTTGAACATCTGAACAAAAACAGGGTGAAATGAGATGAAAATGTAATCAGTTGAATCAGCATCAGCATTTATCTGTCGTTTTTGGGCATACTGTTGGATGTTTTACCTGTTAGAGTAATAGTAGCACTCCAATGTTTAATGTGTTTCTGAGCTGGAGGGTCACATAATGTTTATAGACAGGAGAGAAGAATTTTATTTGTCAAGTTTGTGCAAAACAAGCCTGTTACTTTTAACATGTTGATGAGTTCCCAGAGACAGCAATGTGATACTACAATGGTTGATCTACATGTTACTACAAAATAAATTGAGACTGGCACTTATATCCCTCATTTTTTCATTGTTAGAGTGTTAGAGTGCACCTTCATGTTGGGAAACACAACAGTTTATTTTGTGTTAGGTTTAAGTCTGTTTTATTTTGTAAAAGCATAAATTAAAATTTACCAGGAAGAAAGCACAAGAAAGAGCCCTGGAGTTGTGGTGTGCCCCCTCCCCTGAAGCACAAATCACATGCTACTGAGAAACATAACAACACTGGAGTCTTCATTCTGACATAACTTGGTAAACAATGTCTTATTCTTACATCCTATTTACCTCTCTTTCATGAACTTCTGGAAACACATTTAAATTATTTGTTGCTATATTCAGATGAGCACGACGTAGCACTGCATAAACACTACACTGTAATGTTGATCTCAGAGACCTGACCCTATTTTGATAGTTTTAACTGTGCAGATGTACAGTGTAGATCAAGAAATTAAAACAAAAACATGATGGTTGTGATCTTGCTATTCCTCATACAATAAATGTTCAAAACTAACCAAATCAACAGGTGACAATATAGTCCTGCCTTAATACTCCAGAGA